TAATATATATATATATATATATATATATATATATATTTGCGATCAGGCGTATTTAACATATAAACATAGCACGAAAGAATCTTACGATAACAGACTCTCAATGATTCTCTTATAACATTCTATCTTGCATTGTTTATATTAAAATACGCCTGATCGCATAGCAACAGATAAACACTTCCACAGTTTTCACTAATAATTATTTATCTAAATCAAATATCCTTTTTTTCCAGAAGTCACCCGACTCCCCGCCACGACACCAACCCCAACATTAACCCCAAAGACTCGCCATCGCCCACCAAACCGAACATACGGAAACCAAATGGGTTTGCGAGTCTCAGGAGAGGGCCCCGAAATACAGCCGGCCCTGCTTCTATCCATTCTAGGACTAAACAAAATACCGGTAGTAACGGTAGTAATGTAGTAACGGTAGTACGGTAGTAATGGTAATAATGGTAATAATGGAGTTACCACATTGCACCACCACAGACACAGTTTGACCACCGCCAGACCTTCGAGGAGCATCGAAAGGGCGAGGGCGGCACTCTAAGGTAATAATAAAATAGAAATAGATTTGACAATTGTTTTTTATCATAGTCAAAAAAGAGACTCTACTGACGAGCAGGAGTATACAAAAAGGACTCTACTGACGAGCAGGTTTAATAATGAATTTGAAGAAACAAAGCGACTCTACTTTCGAGCAAGCTAAATCTAAATGATATTAGAATAAAAAAGGGACTCTACTGACGAGCAAACTAAATCTAAATAAATATTAGAATAAAAAAGGAACTCTACTGACGAGCAAATTAAAATTTGATTTAAAAAATAAAAAAGGGACCTACTGACGAGCAAATTCAAAATTTGATTTAGAATAATAAAAAAGGGACTCTACTAACAAGCAGAATTAAACTAGATCTTGGAGATTGAAAAGAGACTCTACTGACAAGCAAATTGGAATGTATAAGAAATTATTTACAAAAAAGGACTCTACTGACGAGCATACTGAATGTAGACTTAAATTATGAAATAAAACTCTACCGACGAGCAAACTAAAAAGACTCTACTTATGAGCAATCTTAATACTAGAATATATGAAAGAAGCTCGACTAACGAGCAAATTAAATATCTACACAAAACATTAAAAAACAGCTTTACTGACGATAAAATTGAATATCTAGATAAAATATAAGAGAATCTACAAACAGCAAGATAAATATCAATTTGGTGGATTAGAAAAGGGACTTTACTCGCGAGCAAACTAAATAAATAATAATAATAATAAATATCGACAATAATACAGGAACTCTACTTATGAGTAAATTGAATTCAATCTATAAAACGAAAAAGGACTCCACTAACAAACCGTCAATGAAGCAATAACAATAAAAATAACTCTACTGACGAGCAAACTGAATACCTAGATAAAATAATTTAAAAAAAACTCTACTAACGAGCAAATTCAATATTTGTCTAGCTACATAGATGAAAAGGGACTGAAAGAAACAAAAGATTTTCACCGCCAAGTAAATTAAATAAAAGTGTGGAAGATAAAAAGGACTCTACTGAGGAGCTAATTAAATATTGTTGTAAACATAAGAGAAAAAGACTGTACTTTCTTGATAGTTAATATTAAAATATAAGAATGAACGAGAATTTTACCAAATATAATGTTGGAATCAACAAAAGAACTCTACTGACAAACAAATTTAAATGTAAAATAGAAGTTAAAAACAAGAAGAATTCATTTATGACAACATATAAATATGATAATTTTTAACAAAGAATTGTCTGTGTTAATCAAATCTATTAACATCGATTCATAACAATATTTTCACTTTTTTAGGAACGCAAAGCGAGTACGGCCCTGCCGAGC